TGAGTTCCACCTTTTGAGATGGTGATAACAAATAACAAACAATCAATACCAGAAATCCAATAGAATTATAGAGATGTGTGTAATATAGTAGAAACCAATCAAGTTTCCAAATATAGCTAAGAAACAAGAGGAGCATAGATCAAATGATTATGTCCAAATCCATATATAATCAATAGAATGGAGAGAAAAAAGTAAAGGGTCGTGTGCTTGACACTGTTGACTGGCGTGCTTGCCATCCTTCGAGGAAGAAATGGGAATCTCTCTCTCTCTCTCTCTCTNAGTAAAGTGCGAAAATGGCAAAGCCTTGCCTTTTATACTTGTGATGGGCCTAACCCTGGCCGGTGGATAAAAAACCCAGTTAATTTGAAGCGTCCACGATTGCATCAATCTGAGCCATAGATTTCAAACGGTTCACACGCCAACGCCTCAGATTGATGCGTGCTCTTCACCAGCATGGCCTGGCGCGTGTGTGCACTCCCCAACAACACTTTCAAAATAATTAGCCATGATGACGCTTTGAATGCGAACGGCTGTATGGTTATCGAATGTCGTTTCGATGCAGCCACCTACCTTGGAAACACGCGAAACCGTCATGTCAGGCATGGATCTCCATATGGGACCGCCTCGTCTTCAAGGAAATTAAAAACAATCTGACAGAGGCCAGTTCCTTCAAGGAACCGCCTCGCCTCAAAGAAATTCAGCAGAGGCCAATTCCTTCAGGGAATCACCTCGCCTAAAAGAAATTCAGCAGATGCCAATTCCTTCAAGGAACCGCCCCGCCTCAAAGAAATTCGGCAGAGGCCAGTTCCTTCAGGGAACCGCCTCGCCTTAGAAAATTCAGCCTTGGCCAGTTCCTTCAGGGAATCGCCTCGCTTCAAGGAAGACCAGATCAGCATGGACCTACAACGTCTGAAAGGCAGCCTTCTCAACTTTACGCATTGCACGACTTCTTGAACTCCACGCCCAGTATGAATAACTGCGCCTGGACTTGTGGGATTGATGTGAGTAGTGAAAATTTTAAAA